CGAGTACCTACTACGTCCGAACTACGGTTTCGTTACTGTCCTACTTAGTCAACGACGTAGTTAGTCAGCGTCGTACTAGACTCGTAGTACTCCTCCTCTCTCTCACAACATAATATTGTTCTAGTGAGAAAGTTTCTCTCTCTCTCTCTCTCTCTCTCTCTCTCTCTCTAAGTTTGCGGCTCGATGCAGAGATCTTGGAGATGTAGGGCTTTCAGGAACCTTGGTGCCGGAGTTGGGATCACTGGGATCGCTTCAGAGACTGTAAGAACTCCATGGTCTCTTAACAAGTAGATGGGTTTTGTCTTCTTGACCTTGTGCTCTCCATGATGGAGTATAGACAATTTTTTTCAAAAACAGAAAAAAAAAATCATTCCAAAAGAGATGAGTAGGATTGTATATTACAGGAGAATTTATCTTTATTATAAGGAAGTCACGTTTACTCAGCCATTAGATTTCAATGGGGCGTGATATAAAATTTAAAAAGAATTTGAACTTTGAGTGTAATGGGTAATACCCTCACGATCACTAGATTTAATATGATAAGTGATTATAATCTTCTTATACCACAAATAAATGCTCAGTTTATATACTTCTTATTTTTTTAATTTTAAAAATTAAAACGTTATTACTAATATTTTTCCTGAGTATAATAAAGTGGCAGAAAAACGAAAATAAAAAAAAAAACGAAAAATATCCACCCTTTGCTTAATCAAGTGATTAAATAACCTATCAATCAACTCAGAACTAGCTGGATTGACTTCGTGATGATAGAGTTCCAATCCAAGTCTCTGTCCGAATTCGGCTGAGTCGTGGGTAATGCTTAAAGATAAAAAAAAGGGAAAATTTGTATTTTAACACCCTAAAATTGATTTCCCGAACTTTATTGTATTTTTTTGTTTCAATAGTCCATTTAACCCAAAAATTGATTATTAATTACCTCCTTTTTATCCAAAAATAGATTATTCGATCAATTAAGATTTTGTTGAGGCTGTCTCCTCAAAATCTGGTGATTCTGCAACTCTAAAATTCCTATCCACCTTTCTTCTAATTTTTCACTTGATTCTTAAATGATTTGCATTTAAGTCTTAGTGTCAAAACCCAAAATGAGAGGATAACTTTCCAATTTTGGGGAATCTTTTGAACTCGAAATAGGAAATCTTCCATTTGTCAGCTATTAATCTACCAAATTCATTTAAATACATCCCAAATTGCTCCTATCACGTTGATCTATAAAAGATCTAACAAAGTTTTTGAATCAAAACCGAAAATCACGACTTTTGATTTTTAAATTATTTTTTTAGCCAATTTTTTCAGCCTTTTCCTTTCTGTTCGTCTTTTTTGATCGGTAGTTTTTTATTTCAATGTTAATTTGTACTTCCCATTCAATCGAATCTATTTTTATTTCAAATACTTGATTTAATGTATTTTATCTTTTAATTTACCCTTTTTAAAAAAATAAAAATAAAAATACTATAGACCTAATATATATTTGTAGTCGACCCCAAATGATTGGAACAAAGCTTAGATGATGGTGACTATAGACCTCATACATTTTCCTTTTTGGTTTGGGCATGTCTCATTCAATTTTGGCAGTTTTTTTAATTTTTAAAATATATTGGATATTTTTTATTTTTTTATTAGCATGTTGTGCCACCGCTTATAGTAGGTTGACCCCTTACAAAATAACCACAAGACATTACCAATTTAACATTTTACCCATTTGTAATTATTCCAACTCATAATCATGTGTCTTTTGATAAGTATTTTGAAATTAAATAAAAAATAAAAAAATTTACAAAAACCTCCCTCAAGTATACTATTTATGCAACTTAACCCCCCCCTCCAACTAACCTTTCCTCTCATGTTTTTCTCCACAACCATCTTTTTTGGCCAAAACCCCCGATCCAAAACAAAAGAAAAAAAAAGACTAAACTACCCCCTCTCTCTCCTCGTAGCTTTTACCAATAAATCTCTCTCCATACGCTCCGACGGTCCATTTAAACGTTCTAGCAGTGAAGACACGCAATCTGACAATGCAAGGACTCACTTCGGCAGTACACCTTCTGGAGCCATATCACTCCAGCAGTTGAATTGGTCGCTTTGGGAATACACTACTTGGGACCGTCAATTGAATTTTTTTTTTTTGTTGGGAGTGGCATTTCAGTCCAAGAAATAATAATGTTTTACCTTGGGGGAGGTTTTGAGAGGAAAGGTGATTGTGGGAAAAAAGTGGGAGAAATATTAGTTGGGGTAAGTTGCATATATATATATATATATATATATAATATACTTTAGGGAAGTTTTTGAAAAAATATGTGTAAGATGTTAAACAGTACGTCTCCGATAAGTTTCCCTTTCCTTCATTCCTCCCAAGTAGTTTTATTATATACTTCATTGTAAAAAGATAATAGATTATTATTTTGCGTCTATGCCCTCATTCATAAAACCACGTGCTTTAAATTATCTGTACTTTCAGATTTGTCTCTCGGGGCTTGCTTTGTAAAATTAAAATTATTTATCGGGATTACCGTGTAAAATTACAATCTTACAGGTACTTTTACAATAACAACTTAAGTGGGGGCATTCCTGAAGAACTCGGACAACTGAAAAACCTTGCAGTTCTGGAGTTGGAGAACAATAGTCTCACTGGCGTCATTCCTCCTTCTCTTGCCACCATACAACCCCTCTGCTCTTTGTGAGTATCAAATTCTGCTTCTAGAGCTTAACATCAAAAAGTTTCTTCTTCTATCAAGTAAAATTGTAAAGTAATTTATATATATATATAT